CCTTCAAAAAACAGTTTCAAGTCCTGAGAAAGTCAAATCAGACGTAAAACTTCACTGCCCTGCAGAAAGTAATCACTCTGATTTAACGAGGCCAGCAGGTAAGGGCTTTCCACTGGATCATAACTGCTGCCATTTGAACAATCAATTACTTAAAGTGGACCTATCATGCTATATTTGAATAATATAGTGTAGGACCATACCTATATAAGGCATATTTATACTTTTTATTTTTCAAAATACCAAACAGATCATGCATTTTAGCCATTCCTCATTTCGCTCAATGTAACACTGTCTTTGCATCATGGGCTGATTCTGTGAGAACAGCACCATCTACAGGCCTGGCATATGTACTACAGCGTCTCCAGCACTTTCAAACGGCAATGTCCGTGGCTGTCTCCTCCTGATTGGTGGAGTTGGCCCAATAGCCGTAGAGCCACTTCTGTGACGTCATAGAAGTGTTCAAATCTGGATCAGTCTGTATCAGATCCGTTGCAGCCCCTTTTTAAGAGATTTGGGTATGGAGGAAAATAGAGAGGGTTGTGTTTTCTGACACTTGGTGAGTTCCCTGGAACACCGGGGACACATGTTCATGTAGAAAAGACGTACAGAAGTGCATTTTGCATGATAGGTCCCCTTTAACTTAGCCTTTGATTATGTTCCGGCCCGCCCTCTAGTGGCTCAGAAATGTTTTGGCCCAAGGCTAAACTTACTAATATGTTTCCCAGGTTTCCACTGTGCGGTGGTACACACAATTGATATAAATAAAGGTGTGTGTATATATCTGTGTTTCAGGTATCCAATGTGTGATGTGATACTATATTTTGTATCTGTGTTATGGTGTTGCTCTGTTGGAGGAGCCTGTGCCCTCAGACGTTCATTGTCGTATCTAAACTGTAGCTCTGTACACATTACAATAAAAGCCTTGAATCTTGAATATATATAAATGTACATATATATAGTTATATTAATGTATCTCCAGGTTTCCACCGTGCGATGGTGCGCACAATGACGGCGGCTCTGCGGATCCCTCACTTCGGGTACTCTGACGAGGTGGAGCTGAGCCGGCTGGCGGCGCTGAGGAAGGAGCTGAAGTCTCTGTGTGAGAGCCGGGGCGTCAGACTCAGCTTCATGCCCTTCTTCATCAAGGTGACTTCACTCTGGCCTCCTTAACGTTTAGGATCCATTTTAAAGACCTACTTGTTCTCCCGTATAACACGTATAAGAGTCGTCAGTCTTTGCTTTTAAATTGTGGTTTTTACATCGTGTACGAGAGTTTTCAGTCCGTGGCTATAAGTAGGGTTTCATCGTCTCGTTCTTTTACATTTGTTTTTCGTCCTATCGGTTTTGTCTGAATGTATTTATGCTGCTTTTTATATATTCATCGATGTACAGCACTTTGGTCAACTCTGAATGTGCTGTATGAATAAAGTTGGATTGGAAGGTACTCCTCTCCTCAAAGCTGATTGGTTAAAGTGGTGTGTGTTGGTGCTAACGCTGCGCTCTGATTGGTGCAGGCTGCCTCCCTCGGCCTGCTTCACTTCCCCGTCCTCAACGCGTCGCTGGACGAGGGCTGCCAGAACATCACCTACAAGGTACACACTCCTATCTACCATGCTCCTGCAGCAGGGTTAATATATACTTAATCATTTATTATTTATCTTTTATTCATGTGTTACTAAATATTGTTTTATTGGCTCTATCACCCTTTTATATTTATTTAATACAAAATGTTTTTTTTTTTATTGTTAGCTCCAGTTTTACATCAGGTTTAATATTTATATATTTACAGGCGTCTCACAACATCGGGCTGGCGATGGACACGAGTCAGGGTCTGCTGGTTCCCAACGTGAAGAACGTGCAGCTGCTCAGCGTCTTCGAGATCGCTCAGGAGTTGAACCGGCTGCAGGCACTCGGTACCGCCGGACAGCTGGGAACCAACGAGCTCACCGGAGGAACCTTCACTCTGTCCAACATCGGATCGGTGAGTACAGGAACCTTTACAGAGCCTGAAGCAGATCTGACGGGTTCCCTGCTGTTGGGAGAACCCTGAATGTCCTCTTCCAACATGAGAGCAACATGCTAACAACTGTAGCTGTGAACATGACAGGATGTGTGATTACCTAGAAGAGCATCAGGACTGTTTGAGGCATATGATAGCTATGTGATTAACATGGATGATTCAGCCTCCTATGGAGAGACATATGACAAGACATGCTCATTCTGACGTGGCAGCTAATCTGAAGTAAACCATTGAATTGCTTTCTATTCTCCATCTTGTTACTGTGAACTCCCTCTCTTGGATATCAGCATGTGAAGGACCCACGTTCAGGAAAACTAGTTGATGCTCTGTGTGTGATGGGTTCCATTCTTCCAAAGTTAGAATTCTTGGACATTTGAGAAAGTCAGAGATTTTTTTTTAAAAGTCAGAACTTTAGAAAGTCAGAATTTTTTTTTAAAAGTCAGAATTCTTTGAAAAAAAACATTTTTGAGAAAAAGTCAGAATTTTTGAAAAAAGTCCTCATTTAGAGATTTTGAGAAAGTAATAAATTGGAGATTTTGAGAAAAAGTCATGATTTTGAGAAAAATTCATGATTTTTGAGATTTTGAGAAAAAGTCATGATTTTGAGAAAAAGTCAACATTTTGAGAAAAAGTCATAATTTTGAGAGCCGGGGACCAGTGATTTTTTTCTAACACTAACACTGTTTTACAGATCGGAGGAACGTACGCCAAACCCGTCATTCTTCCTCCAGAAGTCGCCATCGGAGCGCTGGGAAAAATCCAGGTGGGTCTCAAACATTCCCGGGAAATCAAATATTCAAAGGTTCACCATTGTTGGTTTGACAAAAATATTTAAAACATTGGATTAAACCAACAATTGAAAATCAATCAAGGACATTTCATACATAGAGTATTGGGAGAATAATTCTGAGTATCATCTGCATATAAAATACAAATGTACGTTATTCACTTAATGTAGTAAGGCAACAAATCAGAGGTCCTAATACAGAGCCCTGTGGTACACCGCTGTTGCGGTGTAATTTGTGGAGGAAACTTCTGTGTAGCAATGCAGTGGGAGTCACCGACTCATGAAGGAGACACGGGACGAGCAGGAGTTCTGATGTCAAACACTGATATTTAATGCAAGCATCGGCCGGAAATTCACATCACAAGTCACACAGTCAAAGGTTCTGACTGCACGGGTGGGTTGCCATGTCAAATCTGATCAGCCTCGCATCTTCGTTGACCTTTTAACTAGTTTATAGAGAGTCAAATCTACATATTGGGGATGGGCGTAAACATCTGCAGACACAGGAGATGTCTCTCACATCTGTGGAGCTTAGAAAGCCAGCGTTCTCACGGTCGTAAAAAACCCCTGTGCCCACCAGGTCAGGCCATAAAACCTAGTATCAACATACGACTGCATTAACACATTCCTTACGGGAGATTAGAAGCAGGGATGGGCGTAAGTGTCAACACACAGAATGAGGTTAAATGTCTAGGAGTAAAGACAGAAATATGCCCTCACAGTTCCTCCCTTTTTATCATTTATTGTGGTGCTATTTTATTTCTATTTGAGATGTTTACATTTTGGATTGTTTATTTCTTTTAATTTCTCTATTGTACAATGCCATGTCCCTTTATGCTGATGCAACGCAAACATTTCCCTAATTGGGATCAATAAAGTACATCTTATCTTAAATGCAAAATATATTTAATAAAAATGTTAAAGTTGACAGAGAAGAGCAACATTTATGAACCTAATTTAAAAAAACTGCTCAGTAAAATGAATGATATGATTAAATATATAAATACTGTAAAAAATGTATATCATTAATAATAATTTTGTTCTATTTAGAGGCGCCTTTCAAAGCACCCAAGGACACCTTACAATTCATAAAATATATTAATCTAATTTAAAAAATAAACTGCTCAGTAAAATGAAATGTATAATACAAATAAAAAATACTTGATAAAAAATTGAAATCTAATTAAAAAGTTTCTCATTTCCTCAGGTGCTGCCCCGGTTCGATGCCGGCGGCCAGGTGGTCCCGGCTCACATCATGAACGTCAGCTGGTCGGCGGATCACCGCATCATCGACGGCGCCACCATGAGCCGGTTCTCCAACCTGTGGAAGGAGTACCTGGAGAACCCGGCCGCCATGGTGCTGGACCTCAAATAAAACATAGAGCATTATTTCACATCGGCCCCGGCGGCGTCTCCTCCTCCTCGCACCGCCTCGCCTCACCTTCCTGTCCGAGGCCTTCCTGTGCACTTGTTTCCTTGTTGCCTTTGAGCAAGGCGCCGTGGGGGAGGGGCCTGTTGTTCATGATGACGGCCAATCACAAACAGCCGTGGGTTAAAATCTGACAGTCAGCCGATTTTAGCATCAAATTTCAACACTAACACACTCAGGGGGAATTCACAAAGGAGGCTAGGCTAATGCTAGGCTAATGCTAGGCTAATGCTAAACTAACTGCTCTACTCCAAATTACAATTTGGAAATATGCAGCTCTTTATCTCTCTTGCAAAAACAGTTCATTTCACACAGTAGCAGACTTACATGCGTGTTTGTGTATAAACGTTAACATACATGTAAAATATGAAGATTGGTCTGACCCTGACAGCAGGGATTGTAGCAGGTGACGCTCAAACTCTATTATTATGGGATGCAGTGAGGGTTGAGTCATATGAGATGTACATATATGAAAGCTCCCCTACATATCAGTTTCTAATATATCATTCAAAAATACATAGAAATAGGAAATAAAGTAATAATTTATCTGTTTTTACAAATCCTGGTCTTCCTTTTCCAATCAGCAATAATTCATGTTAAATGTCTCTTTGCTGCAGTTATCTGTGTTTGCGCTCTAATAGGAATTTATTTATCTGATGTGAAGCGTAGCACGGCCACAGCCTCTCCTTGTGAATTCTCCTCTCCGTTTCTTTTGAGTGTTTCTGTACATTTCTAACAAATCATGTTTTTATCAGTGCTGGGTTTTCTCTCTGCTTCAGATACTGTAAATAATGCACCTGCTGTCCTCTGCTGTGCGTGATGCAGACTGTTACAGAGATATATATAATATACATGAATATATATTATATATCTGGTTAGACGTGTCAGCAGCGGACCTGTCTCTCTTCCTGGCTGTCCCGGTGGCTGCTGGGTAAAAAGCACATCGTCTGTGTTCAAAAAAACTTTTCCTGTTTTCTGTGTTTTTAGCTAAATGTAAAAGTGTAAAAAACAACTAACTTAGGGTTATTTTTTCTATATTTGTTTTGGTGCGTGTAGATTATTATACTAATGCAGTGTTGACCTGGTGAGGAACTTTGAATAAAGCTGAAGTACACAAACTCAACGTCTAAATGACTGTTTTACTTTACATTACATGTTTCTTACATACTCAATATACTGTGGACAATCCCTACAGGAGCGATTTGGAGTGAAGTGTCTCAGGGACACAACGACATGCTGACTGCAGTGGGATTCGAACTTGCTATTCTCTGATCCGAAGAACAGCGCACTAACGAGCACACTAATCCACTGAGCCACAGCCTCCCTTTTTTTTACTTTGATGGTGTCTGTGCGAGGTCATCTTCTCCTGTAGTGTGCTCTTTAGGTGTTAGTGCATGTAAATGGTCTGAGCGGAGATTTTGAGAAAAAGTCAGAATGTTGAGATTTTCTTTTAAAAGCTAACATTTTTAGTCAAAACTCAGTACTTTGTACATGCCTCCATCTTGTGACTGTGTAACTCCCTCTCTTGGATATCAGCATGTGAAGGACACTGTTCAGGAACTAGTTGCTCTGTGTAATGGCAATTTCCATGTTCCAATGTCCTATATATTTGCCCTTACTTTCACAGGAGGTTTTTATAGTGATCCTGACGCAGACACGAACAGATGGATTTCCCGGTCTTTTGCTGCAGTGCAGAATGATGGTTTATTTTGCATTTACATACCAAGGTTTTATTACTCTGTGTCAATGATTGAGGTATGAGCATCTGCTGGGCTGGTGCCGTGCTGTTCTTGCTGGTGGAATCGGTATGCTATTCCTCCTGTGTTCACGTCATTTCCTGTCACCTGTGACTGCTTTTATACACCCGGTGCAACCCGGTGCAGCTAAACCCCGCCACCAAGTGTTCAAAAATAGTATTGTAGTATGAATATAAATAAAGTAAACTGACATAACAACACCCTTAGATGGCTCCTACACTCTGTATGTGATGACTTCTTCCATTCTTGAGATTGAAGCTCAAGCGCATTAGTTACCATTTGCCGATTTGGACCATTCTGATGTTGTTTTGGAGGTTATTGAGGATGTTGAATACATTTCTGACATTTTCAGGATCCAAAATGTCAGTTTTGGATCCCCTAAAACGTAAACATTAATCAAAATCAGCCCACCGGGAGTACCAATATATCCACCAGCTTCCCTGGTTCCTGAGCCTCATCTGTCATATATCTTATTTTATGTATTCTTTCTCATGTGTACTATCTGTGTTTCTGTCTTATTCTATTGCTGCTATAACACCTGGATTTCCCTATGGGTATCAATGAAAGTCCATTTGATCTTATCTCATCTTATCTTTCCAGCAGCCCTGGTTTCTGAGCCTCATCTGCTGGACCTGCGTCTCCTCTCTGCTCGTGGTGCTTAGTCCAGACAGAAGCAGCAGAAGAGGATGTGAGCCAAGTTTACAATCACTCTGCACTTTTGCACTTCTGGTTAGACGATAACTGCATTTCATTCTCTTAGTACTTCAAAAGATTCAAGATTCAAGGCTTTTATTGTCATTTGTGCATAGCTGCAGTTTAGTTATGTCGATGAAAATCTGAGGTCCCAGGCTCCTCCAACAGAGCAACACAATAAAACAGATAGGATAGTGCAAGTAATACAATAAAATAGAATGTAAGTAGTGCCATAAGAGTCTATATACAAGTCAGGATTGTAATTTCCCGTGTTCAGTGTATGCAATTATTATGTAAAGGATTTTCCGAGGCACACCTTCATATGATCACTATAGTTATAAAGAAATAAGAGGAATAAATGAAAAACAGGTTTTGAAATAAAACAAGAATAAAGGTTAAAAGGGGAGTGATTTGTAAAAATATCCATAAAGAAAAAGTCAATCTGTATACAGTTCTGTTTCATATGGGTGTTGAGAGATCTATCCATATCTCTTCATGTTGCTCTCAAAGTGCACCAGATTGATGCTTTTAACTTCAATATAAAAAAATCATGCCCCCGGACCCCCTTGGAGGAGGTGAGGACCCCCCTAGAGGAGGTTAGGTCCGCCCCCCACTTGTAAAAAAAATAGCACTTTACCCCTGCTTACACCTATATGCTGTGAGCTGATTATTGAGCCTTCATTGTAACAGTCCCGGGTACACTGTGTATGTGTGTGTGTATGTGTGTATGTGTATGTGTATGTGTGTGTGTGTGTGTGTGTGTGTGTGTGTGTGTGTGTGTGGGGAGTGTTGCAGTAGAAATGTCCACTGTAGCGCCCGGTACCTTAATGAACTGTGGGCTAAGCCCCGAATGTTTCCAGGTCCAGGAAACGCCCCTGGCACACACTATGAAAAAAGAAGTGGAAGTGTTTTCTTTTTTTTATCTGATAAAAAAGTAAAACACATGAAGCATGCCAGAAAAGATTACTCAAGTTTAAATTCACACAAGCACACGCCCTGCAAAAGCATTTATGATGAACTGTCAACCTGTTTGGTTTAACTTGGTGATTTCTCAAGAGCTGCTAATATTAGACGACAAGCAGTTAGTCGATCGACATAACAACTATTGGCCAACTCATTTGATTATCAACGTAGCACTTTTCTTTAAGATGCTTTTTACAGCCTCTCAGATATGGAGATGTTCAAAGCTTTCAGAAAGATCCCTGCAGAAATCAGTGCACGATAATGGCTTCAAAAGTTTTGTTTTTGTTCTGCTTTTCGATCATATCGAACAAACCAAGCTTTGCTCAAAACAATGTAAGCAGAAGCAGTTTCTCAATATCCATAAACTCTTCACTTCCTCTGAAATACTGCCAGCCTAATATCTTGTGGAGGACCAGAAAAATGGGCCACATCTGGTAAAAAAGTGTCACTCTTGTTTGGAGCAGCGCCCTGTTACACCCTCAATTGGCTTTCTATATATAAACAGCTTAATGGTGACAGGTTTACTCAAATATGCATCTTAACTAGTATTAGTAGGCTGCAAACCTGTACTGTGTCCATGCTCCTTTATTCAATGTTTGGTTTGCAACCTCTCATTGAACACCATGATGTTAGCAGATATGGAATATTTTTAGTTTATACAGTAATACCCAGAGGCAATATCTGTGGCAGCGCAGGAGGTGTGTCTATTTCCTCTTTAAAAAGTAACATGAAACCTAAATGGTTAAACCTCCTAGGTGTTTAAAGCTGTGTAACAACTTGCGTGTGTTCTTGCCAGGACATTCTGTTGAAAGGTTAACAGGAAATACAAGTGTTTGAAATGAATAATGTGCAAGATTTGGTGCATACTTCCTTGAAATCTATGATAAAGCATAAATAATCACTCTTTGTTTAAGGCAAAGACATCTACATCTTATCCACAAAAAGACATTTGCAACTAAACCTTGATGTATGAATGTAATAATGTATTGAAATGTGTGTGCATGGACTACATTTCACAGATCATAAAGGTGGGAGAAGTACTAAGATCTTGTACTTGAGTATTAGCATACAAATATATTAAAAGTACCAAAAGTAGAAGTACTCATTATGCAAATAGAGACATTTCAGAATAATATATATGATACGTTTTATAATCATTGATCATGAAAGTGTTCTCAAAGCTGGTAAAGGTGCAGCTAGTTTGAATGACGTTGTATACTGCAGGGTAGCTTGACAATGTTGCAATAGTATTATTTGCAAAGTAACTTAAAGTATCAAATACATGTAGGCGAGTAAAAGAACACAGTAGCAAAACATTGAAATACTCAAGTAAAGTCTCTCTCTTGAGTAAATGCTACTTAACACCACTGGGTGATACTACAAAAGTTATCCAACTGGGTGTGAATGAAAAGTGGGTGGGGTGAGACTGACAACCAATCTTCTCCATTGCATGTCATTGCAGTGTGTAAGTGTTTAAAATAGGTGAAAATAACAGCTCATTAACCCCTCGTTTAAATGCTTTCTCTATGGGAGTGTGTGTGACTTTATCAAACTCTCTTACCCTATAATCCCCTCTGAGTAGTTCCTGACTTTCCATGGCGTGCCAGAGTACCCATCACAGCCTCCTGTGTTGGATCCACTGTTCAAGAGGCTGGAATTGAACCCAAACGTGCTAGCTTTGTTGTCTCTTTTCCTTTTGTTGGGGTGTCCGTTCCACAGCCCGGAGACCCCGCCGCCCTGCTGCCCCCCTCCGCCGCCGACACCGCCCTGCTGCCTGACACCGGCTCCTCGGTTGTTCTGGTTGCTATTATTAATGTCCAGTGGTATAAAGTCCCGCTGCGCCGTGAAGTCCCCGTTCCCACTTGAGGATGACATCCCCGGAGTCCTGTTTGAGTCACTCAGTGCCCCGTTTCTGGCTCCACACGCCCCGTTGACAAGCGCTTGCAGGCGGCTCGACGTGCTCTGAGATCCGGCGCTGTTATTCACATGCAAGTAGCGGAGCCCTTGTGTCGTCTCCCAAATCTGCATCCACAGGTTGTTGGCTGGTCCACGTTGTTCCGGTTGAAACCAGGCGATCCTCGGATCCATCAAACGTTGTGACACAGTAGTAGGCGAGTAGCCCTCCCCCCCGCACACCCCTTAGCCCTCAGCGTGTGCAGCTAGCCAGGTCGCTAGCTAACCGTTAGCCACCTAGCCTGCTAGCTCAGGTTCTCAGCCGCCCGTTACTTCTAGAATCCGGTGAGAAAAAAAACAAAACACGCTCCTTAGTGGTGACGATACGCGGTTGACAACCTAGAGAATCCACAGGACTAAATGTTGTGAGTCAAGTGGTAAAAATGCAGGTTAATGGAGAAGTGTGCGAGTGTAGAAACGTGCAGCTGCTGCCTGTCGAAGAAGTGGCTCTCTGACCCTTTCCCTAACTCAATGGCGAAGTGTAGGGGGACACTGCGCATGCGCGTGGTGAGTGGGAAAAAGGGGGCGGGGACAGAGTGGTTACGCAACAGACAACTGTGTTTTTTTTTGTTACATAACGACGTGAGATTTATTATTCTGTCATCACGGGGTGAATGGACAAGGTGTAAAGAAAGAGAACTATGAAGAAAAACATGTTTTATTTTGAACTTACTCTCACTGCCTGTGGCTTTCAACTCCTCCCTCAGTCTGTCAGCCACTCTTGAGTCAATGGACTGGTATTTTAACTTTTAATTATTATGTTCATATCCATAGTATTTTTATTGTGCACATACTTACTTTTATGTTTGTATAAATATTTTTACTCCATTTTCTGAATTTTAAAATAAAGTATTTCTGATTCTGATTGAACCGGCGTTATTGTTAGCATACAGTAATGGCAAAAGTGGCCTGATGTTTTACTTAATAAAACATATCTATACTATAGATACAGGACAATCTATTACTCTACAAGCACATGGTAACCAAGTAAAAGCCCAAAGCATCAACATATACTAACATTGCCTATTTAATCATGTTGATTGGATTATTAGTGGATTTATGTGCACCACTTAAATGTTGCATCTCATAAAGATTGAGATATTGTTGTATTACTTACATATAAAATGCAAGGTATCTTAACCTTAAATAATGTATCACAATGTATTCATTCATTTAGATTTGTTTCTATATAATCTGAATTAGAAAAGTAACGAAAACTGTCAGATTAATGTAGTTGAGTAAAAAGTGCATTATCAGGGATACAGAAATCCCAGATAATACGAGTGTGGAGATTGTTAATATTCAAATAATAACAAGAAAACACGTTAGACAATGCTTAAGAAATCAGGATTTATTTCAAAAAGGCATTAAATCCCATCCCAAAGACATAAACCCCCCCTACATTTTCTTTGAAATGTGTTTTTATATTAATGATAGGCATTTTTATCAACATGTCCCTGAAAACTTGTGGGAAACCAGAAGCTGTGCCCGACTCTTACAACGTAAGAACTAACTATCACACACTTCATTTTGGTCTTTAGGAAAATTGTATTTATGGTTTAAAGTCACCATTCAGTTTGAGCATTGAATGGATTAATGAATGAGAGCTAATAAATTAACTGTCAGAAACTCAAAGCAGGGTAAACTTTGGATCAGGTGCAAAAAGATGGCACTACTACCCTCCATTTACATATTTCAAACCTGCAGTTAGCAAACTGTATATTCTAAGTTGTAGCAGCAAGTTTGGATGATAATTGATTTCATTCATAATTGATATTCACTTTGTTCCTGAAAAACATGCTTTCAGTAGAAAATGGGTTTCTGTGGTGACTTGCAGACTGAAAAGTTTCACAAAAATACATTAACAAATTCAGCTCTCCGTGAAAACAGGGAGCCTGGATTGTGAGAAAATGTGTTCCTCCTAACGGTAAAAATGTAAAAATGTTTATGTTAACACCTTGGCAGTGAGAACAGGTCGCTTCGTACGATATTAAAATGACAGTCATTTTTTTATTTCTCTCTTCAAATGCAAGCCAATTTCTTTCCAAAGATAAATTATGTTTACACTAAACAATAAAACTAAATATTCTCTTTTTTATTAGGTGGCAATTATCCCATACTGATAAATCTTATGTAGCATAGCTCTGCAAACATCAACGTTTAGGCTATTGGAACAAGTGGCAGAATTAAGGGGACCCAAATCAAAACCTGGGGGTGTAGAGGTACTTACTTTGGGAAATTAAAGTGAACAAATCCAAGACAAACATTTGGTCCTGATTGTCACATTTAAATCAAGGGAAGACAAATAAAAACCTTTCTTTACTGCCACTTGCAGTAACTAATAACTCAAATAATCCTGTCTTTCTTCACAACAAATACAGGTAAAATTGTAAATCATTATTATTTTGAGAATATTAACACTGAAACAGGCGGCTTACTACCAACATAATAAATATTTGATGGTCTCACAACCACAGTCTGATTCTTTTGATGCTACCGTTAGCATCTCTGTCCACACCACCGTGAGGTCCAGCGCTCGTTACTTCTTCACCACTTTCTCCAGGTAACCGATGAATCTCCTCAGGTTCACTTTGATGTTGTCCAGCACACACAGCTGCTGCGGGCTGTACTTGCCTCTTCCCTCTTTACGAATCTAGAAGGAATATAAAATAAACATATGTCACATCATATAGGAACACATTTTTCTCATTTTGTTTATTTAAAAAATCACTTTAGGTGTTATGGTTCATTCAAATCAGTTGTAAAGAATTTGTGAGCAATACAAGAGGCAGAACAAATTGTTAACTAGTGTGAGGGACGGGATAAAAGTCCTCAAAGGGCGAATGGAAATTGTGAATAATTAGTAATATACGGTTCTTACTCTTAAGAAAATGTAGTACAACTATAGGCAAGAAATACTCTGTTCAAAATGTTACTTAAGTAAAAGAACAGCAAAATGTACTTAAAATATCCAAATAAAAAGTTCTCCTTTTGCAAAAACATTTTTTAAAGTGTTTTTAGTTTTTTAGTTATCATAGAATATAATTCTGTTTTCACAAACACATACAGACAGAGTTTACTATAGTTGTAGTATGTGTCAATATGGAGCAAATGTTGGATACTTTGTATAATACTGAGTAGATAAATTGTATATATCTTAATATGAATCATTTTATTAATATAATAAGTTGTAACTACAAGCATTGAGTTATCATTCAAAATGTTCCTGTGAGATGTACTGGAGTACAAGTTCAAAGTGGCATTAAATGGATTAAAGTTTAAGTACAGTACTCGAGTACAGGGTTTCCCAAAGTGGGGGTCGCGAAATGATTAAAAAAATAATAATTAATAACGTGTGCATAGACATTTTTCAGGGGCGGACTGGCCATCTGTAGAATGTCCCCGCAGCGAGGCTCAAGGTTGAAAATTCACTAGCACATCCCCCCCCCTTCGTTGACAATTCACGAGGTGGGGGGGTCGCCAGTCTCTGGGACTGTTATTTTGGGGGTCGCAGGCTGAAAGGTTTGGGAACCCCTGCTCTAGTTGATGTACTTAGTTACTGTCCACCCCTGGTAAGACGTGTCTGGTACCTTGGCTTTAAAGATGGGTTGCAGAGCCTTCAGTGCGGGGAGTAACGCA